CACGGGGGAGATCTTTGGGGCCAGTTCTAGAAGTCCTCCCTCAGCACATGGCCCCATTCCTTCTTTAAGTGAGGCAGGGTTGGCTGGGGGCCCTTAGCAGACGGTGCCAGCCCATGTGAGACCCTGCCCGTCACTGCTTAAAGAGGCAAAGTGGGTGGAAAGAGCCCCAACTCAAAAGACTCTGGTTGATGCCATCTAGCTGGGCTCCTTTGAGCTGACCATGGGTCAGTGACTTCACCTTTCAGAGGCTCAGTTTGCCTTTCTGCCGAGTGGGCCTGATGAGATCTGCTTTACTTTAGCTCCATGGTCTTCGGAGATGTAAGCAAGCTGAGAAATACAAGAGGAGATTCTTACACCTTAAATTCCGTGAACAAATCCCCACACGCCCCAGCTTTCTTGGAAGGACAGCAGAAAGGCTGCCGAGGAGGAAGGGTTCTCAGGGTGGACACATAGGGAAGCCCAGCCCGGCCCTGTCCAGGCCTGGCATCGGCCGTGACTCCCGCCTCCCTGGGCTGCTTCTCACTGTTCAGGTTGGGAGTCTGGCCCTCTCCCATCTGCAGATCTGGGAGGATGTGGCTCCAGAGCCTCTGCGTATGACATCTGGTTTGGTGGGTGAAGTTTGAAGTGGTGAGGAGGTCCAGTAGCCAGGCCCCCAAATGAGGGCGTGGGGGCTCAGCTCAGCTGGTAGGGACTTTGAGGTCAGGCAAACCCTAACTGAGACCTGGGTCTGCTACTTCTGAGCTGTGTGACCAGCGAGACCATGTGGGACCAGCGGTCCAACTTACCCGGGCCTCAGTTTCCTTCTCTGTAAAATGGGGCCAATCAGAGGACCCGCTTCACTGGGGGCATTGTAAGGATCAGAGTAAATGATCCAGTGGATGTGAAGGGCTCAGCTCAGAGCCCGGCACAGAGTAGGCCTTTAAGAAATGACAGCTGCTGTTACGAGATCTGGTCCTGCAGGGCTTATGGGAAAGGGGGTGTAGTCCTGAGGGACATCTCGTTCAGCCCCTGGACTCAGGCCCTGAGCTGCAGGATCACTGGGGAGTCTAAATCACCATCTCGGTCATTTATGGAGCACCTGCTGTATGCTCAGTCTGCATTTGCTGGCATCCTTAGGCCAGCCTTGTGAGGAAACTAACAAGGCAACTGTGTGTTGAGCGAAATGACTTACCAAGGTCACAGTTGATGTGTGGCAGGGTTAAACACGGAGTGACACCTGAGCGGGGGGGCCAGCTGTTAGTCACTTGACTCTCCCTTTCCAGGAGCCTTCGGACTCTGGCAAAGATGAGCAAAGACCAGTCCTACCCTCTCCTCTACCGTCACCCTCAGCCAAGTCTGGGCGAATGTGAGTGAAGGCAAGCTTTAGCAGGTGGGACAAGCCTGACGCCCCAGCTGCGGCAAGACGGCGCCCTGCCCGCCCACTTGAGTCTTGTTATGTTCTGGAAAGTCATCGCTGACCCCGAATCAGCAGATACCGAACCATTGCTCCTAGGTGAAATACAGGGTTAGGTTCCTGTGAGCCCGGGCTTGCAATACGTTTGTCCAGCAATCAATACATAACCTTGTTTTGTGTGTCTGTCCGTTGAAAGACACCTGATTCTCTATATAATGTTGGGTCATTATCATTTGAACTCGAGGCCAATGGCAGTGTAACTCACGCCTGAACGAAGGTAATCTAACGTGCATTTTCTCTATAAGGCACATAAGAGCCTTCTGGTGCCCGGACACACAGGACAGCACGTCAGTACCACACGTGGTACTTTATTTTTGTTTTTTAAATGATTTTTTAAAACTTTATTTGTTATTTATTCTGAGAGAGAGGGAGAGAGAGGGAATCCCAAGCAGGCTCTGCACTGTCAGCATGGAGCCTGATGCGGGGCTCGAACGCACGAACCATTGAGATCATGATTGGGGATCATTTTAAACGGCTAAGTCACCAATACAAGGCGCAAGAGTACAAAAGTGTGACACTAAATCGACTGCAAAAAGGACGCTTGTTGGTAGTATAAGAGCGGGAAACGCGAAGGCAGAGCATGGCCTTGTTTGACGTCAGCTGGAAACATGCACATCTAAGCGGCTGAAATTTTTTACCGCTTGGCGCATGACTCTGATTGACTGTGAAAGCACCGTGAGTATTGATTTGGAGGTTACAAGTAAGTTTAGAGGGTAGGCAAATTCATAAGTAAAGACTCGGAATCATCAGAATTGGCTGTATGATGCTTGTTTGTGCCTCCGATTATTCAGCTAACATCTGTTTCCACCAAAGCGCTCTCTTGCTCCCCGAAGATTGTTTTGTAATCCCAAGGCCCCGCAAAGATAGGTGCTTGTTAAATCTCTGCCGAGCAACTGGAAGACAGTGCCTTCCTGGCCTCCCCACCCAGCCTGGGCGATAGCACAGGGCCTGCTCTGGTGTCCCATGGGTCTCTGCGGATCCATTCATTCATAAAGACTGGTGGGCAGGGAGCCTCCCCTCCCACAAAGTTGTGCTCGGGTTCTTTAACTTGTTGGTCCTGCCCTCAGGGAGGGGTAGCAGCGTTTGGACAGGCTGAAAACCTGGAATGTACTGCGGATGCTCTGGGTGGCTGGGAAGAGAGAGGTAACACCACTGGGCTTGGCCTGTGGGCTCCCAGTATAGCCCAGGCATGCGGCACCCGGGTGACTTTGAGTGGCTCTGTCCCCTGGCCAGATCCTCCCCAGGTGGCCACCGTCACCTGATTTCATTTCCTCTGACTGAATCCTCTAAAAGCAGCATCTGATTGTTATTTGTTCAGAAATTCCTAGCTGGAACATTCCAATGTGGTCCCTGTGACCTTTTTTTCCCTCCCTCTGTCCTTCTTTCCTTCCTTCCTTCATTGTGGAGAATTTGGCATTCAAGTACCTCCCTCGGTCGGTCGGTCGTGCTGTGTGGTTTACTTGCTGCCAGTCTGTCCCTGAGGGCTGACTACTCCCTGACGACAGGGAGCTGCTCGAATCGAGCCTGGTCAGAGGAAAGGGTGATCCACACTGGGTACTCACTGTTCCGAGAGGTTTCTCTCAGACCCACCTGGCCTGGACCACACCTGTCCCAAATTCCTCTCCATCTGTACTCTCAAATATTTACTGATCAACTACTATGTGCCAGGAGCTTTGCTCAGCACCAAATAAAATAGACATTCCCCTCTCCCTACCTTCACAGAGCTTTCAATTTAGAAAGGGAATAACAGTCATAAAAATGACACTGTTATCAACTGTGATAATTTCTGGGGGGACGTGTGAAGAAATAACAGAGGGGACACGATTGAGACCAGGGTTGGAGAGGGCCTCTCCAGGAAGCCACATTCAGGTGGAGACCTCAAAGATAGGAAGGATATAGCCAGGTGAAAAGTTCGAGGAAAGCTTGTGCAAAGGCCCTGGGGCAGGAGAGAGGGTGGGCCATTGGATGAACTGATGGAAGCCAGGGAGGCTGAACACAGATTGTAAAGAGGAGGCCCAGGATGGGCATGACCTGGGAGTCCTGGTGGAGAGCTTCCTCATTACCATGAGGACACATTAAGAAGTTAGAAGGTCGGGGGTGGGAAAGGCGGTTAGGGTGTGTGACCCTCTGGCCACTTGGTGGAGACTGTGAACAGTAGGCAGGAGAGGAGGCTCTCCTCATAGGACACAACGGCAGCCTGCCAGATAGACGTCGCTTGTGTCGCTCTTACCCACAAAAGTGCTAAGGCTCCACTTGTTTGCCCACGCCGGGGATCAGCGGTGCCTTCTCTGCTGCTGAACATCTTCTTAAGTAGGGGAAGGAACAGAAAGTGAAGTTGGAAAGAACAAGAGGGCAAAGACCGGGGCCGAGAGAGAAAGAGGCCTCCGTTTCCTCTCTCTGGTAATTGCTGAATTGGCGCTCCTGAAGGCAGAAAAGGAACGACTGACTCATGTCCCTCCGCCAGAAGAGGGAGAAGAACGGAGGCATGATATTGACTTAAACGCGGGGGATTTAAAAGGCCCCTATGTTCCCACTTTGTGCTTTGCTTCTAACAGACAGCCTGGGACCTTTGAAGTCAGTCTGGCCCAGTGGGGAGCGGGCTTCTGTGGAGACAAGATGCTAACGGGGGCGGGGGAAGGGGGCCAGGGGGCGGCCGAAACTCTATTAGGCATGCTCTAGCAAAAAGAAAGGCAAATCCAATGATAATGTACATCTGTTTCAGGGAATTTATAAGCTTTGAACATTTTTTATGGGCAGATAAGTGGGTCCTTTTCTTACCATAACTTAGAACTTCAAAGCTGAGTGTGTGGATAATGCAAATTGCTGAAATATGAGATTTTCCCTACAAAGAGGTTTCCAAAAAAGACGGGGAAGAAAAAGAGAGGGGGAAAGAGAGAGAGAACGAAGGCTAATTGATGCCACAGTCTTTTATGTACGTGGCAAAAACGGGACAGAAATTGATTTTTATGAAATAAGAAATTGATGGGAGAGACAGGGAGAGGCGGAGCCCAGAAGCAGGTGTGGGGGCTAGGGGCGAGTTACCCTAGGCTGTGGGTCAGCTCTGGGGGCACGGCCCCCTCCCTCTTGGAGCCCTCACCCTTAATGGGGAGGACAGGACAAACGGACATAAGGACCCTTCAGAGACGGCCAAGGCAGTGTCAGCCCAGCGCCTGGTCCATCCAAGGTCCAAGGGGGCTCAGGGACAGGGTAGATCCTGGAGGCCTGGGACTATCCGGAAAGGCTTCCTGGAGGAGAGTGGCTGTGTAGGGCAGGCATGATCCTGGGCGGCTGGGATGGGAGCAGGTGCACACTAGGTGAGGAAACAGCTGAATCAGGGGATCCCAGGTTATGCCTCTGCCACCCAGTCCTTGACACAGTCCTCTGTGCTTCTGTCTTCCCACCTCCACGCCCAGCAAGTAGCCCGTGAGCTCCGTGAGGGCAGGAGCATAGTAAACACTCAATATATGCTTGTTGTAGGAGTGAATGATTGAATGAATCAATGAATGAATGAGAGGCAGGATCAACCAAAAGAGGAATCCACTCCGTCTTTTCACTATTCCATATTTTAATATTTATAACATAACCAAATACGAAGATCTCAGCTTATAAAATTGTTCTTTGGGCATTACAAATTTTGCTTCTTTTTGTTCTTTTCTTCTTCTTTTCTTCTCCCTCTTGCTGCCTCTTCTTTCTTTCTCCTTCTTTTTCTGCATTTTCATAGAAGTGGCGGGCTTTCTGTGTTAATTTTATCATTTGTCTACGCCATCTTGGCAAAGCCGTCCCCTGTGCCAGGGATTGGTCAGGAAACGTCATGTGACCCTGTGCTGGCCAATGGGACCTGAAAAGAAGTCTGTGGACGGGCTTGTGAGACGTCATGGCGGCAGCCATCTTGTTTGGCACGGGAGGACCGCAGAGCACCTAGAGAGGCAGGCCTGGGTCCCGGAGGATGTCACCGAGTACCACCCATACAGTACCTGGCAGCTGCTCAGCACGGGCACTCCAGTTGCTTGGCTTTTCGCAGAAGAAAATCCTGAGATCAAGTCGTTTATTCTGAGGGAATCCTGGGAAATGCCAGTAGGGCAGTGCGGAAGTGGGACTGGGGAAGTCACGCATTGTGGCGGGTCGGGGCTTACTCCTGCCTAGAAGCCCAGGAGCCCACGTAGAACACCCTCAGGGTGACGCACCCGCACGGCAAGGGAGCCGGGGCATTTATGCCCCCGTTGCTGTCAGCCATTAGCCAGCTGCTCCCGCCCACAGGCCCAGCAAGCTCTGGCGTCCAGGGAGACCCTCCTCAGAGACTCCCTGGTGCCTGCAGTTGGGAAATGGACTGGCAGCCACAGAAATGCTTCCCGCGGGGGACTCAGGGCCAGCGCTGGCATCGTCTGTTCCTTGGGGTTCCCTAATCCAAGCCAGGTGATCGCAGAGGGTCTCCAAGGAAGAAAGAAGGGGGTTGGACACTCTCCTGGGGACCCATGGGCAAACGCTGGAAGTTTGGGACAGGTGTCATAATGGCCGCGAGAATGTGAAAGAGTTGGGGTGGTTTCGGAGGCACGTGGGTTTGCTCCAAGAGATGTCTGCCACTACCAGCATCCTGGGGGGGTGGGGGTGGGGGCGGGTTCAGCACTCTCCCGGACCCCTCCCAACATTTTGTAACCCCCCACCGTCTTCCCAAAGACCTCGTTTTTCTCTCTGCTTTCCCCGGGCCTCGTTGTGGACCCAGAAGGGTTCGGCCTCAGAAGCCACAAAAACTGCCACCTCCTTCTGTCCTACGCCTGTCCTTCCCACAGCCCCGTTTGGTTGTTCCCAACACACCAGTGTTCTGTCTCCACTTCCTGCTTGCTCTACAGTAGCCCCTGGTCTGGATTCCCACCACTCCCAAAATAAAAAGTTTTTTTAAAAGACGGCATTGAGCTGGGCTTGGTCCTCGTCCCATTTCTTCTGCATGGCCTCACTTCCTGCGATCTCATCCACTGCCATGGCCTTGATTGACCATCTCTAGACTGTTAAGAAGGGCCTCCGACTACACGCCCCCAAACGAACTCACCATCCTACCCCAAAACTTGAGTTTCAAGCTTAGTAAAGGGCAATGCAATCCACCAAGTGACCCAAGCCAGAAGCCTGGGCCTGCTCAACTCCTTCTCCCTCACCCCTAACCCAATCACTGAGACTTGCCGGTTCTGCATCCTAAAGAGAGGTCACCTCTACCCAAGTGCCTCCATCCCGGAGCCACTGAGCCGGACGGAGAGCCCTGTCAGCTGTCCCCTGGCCTGATCAGCTCCTCTTACAGCCTTCTCCTGTCGGTCCCCAAAATGCGGACGGAAAGTGCTTCTTCCAGTGGAGTCTGACCAGGCCACTTCCAGCTTCACCCACCCAGGTGAAGGTTGGACAAGGGTCCAACTAACTCCCGGCCCAGCAGACCAGGCCTCAGCGAGGTGCCCCTGCCCACTTCCTGCCTCACTTTCCCTCACACCCTGACTCCCCTCTCCACCATGCCCCACTGCATGGTGGTCCTCGAACGACCGACGCCTCTGCTCCCCTCCGTCCCCGAAGCGGCTGCTACTCACCCTGTTGAGCCTGTACTCGCCCTGGTTCTTAGCCTGCGTTCCCCGAGGAACCCGAGACACAGGCTTGAGGGCAAATTGCTGTTTGGGCAGAATGATGGCAGCAAGAGGCCTGAGGGGGCAGGAGCACGAGCTGGGAGGTGACGAGCCGACACGAGGATGCGTCGAGAGCACTCCCAGAGCATCCACCTACAGGATGAAAGGTCGGAGCACGGGTTCACCACTCCCGGCCCCCAGGCCCGCGTCTTGGGGCTGCTTCTCGGGGGGGTGCTGACGCCTCCCCCCCTCGCAGGCTGTGTGCTCACAGGCAGGCCCCTGTGGGCCTGGAGGAGGCCCCGGGGAACTTGCAGGACGACAAAGCACAGCATGGGATGCAATTGTGCTGGGGCCAGGTGGGTCTGTGCTGGCAGCCGGGCTGAAATAGCAGGTGGCCGTGGCTCTGTGCTGCCTCTGCCCTTCAAGAAGACCAGCTCCTCCAGGAAGACCTCCCCAAGGCTGGAACAGATGCCCCTCCTAGGCTCCCCGCACATCATCTCACAGCTACTTGTCCTCCCTGCTTGGCTGCAAACTACTTTAAGGCACAAATGAGAGGAGGCGCCAGAGCTCAAAATAATGCTGTGGAAATAAAGCTGAGCAGAGAGGGACAAGTGTAAAGACGCTTCAAATTTATAGAAAGCTGGGATAGGGTTTCAGCAGAGTCTAGATGAGCTTGGGAGGCCACGGAGCTGGGGTGAGAAAGCAGCCTGCTCCTTGCTCTGGGCCTTCTGAGATGCCGCGGTGCCAAAATCCCCCTGGAGGCAAAGCGCTGCTCATTTAATCCTCATGGCAACTTTGGGGGGCAGGTGTTCTATCATGTCCATTTTACAGATGAGGAAGCCGAGGCTCTCTCTCCCCCGCCTCCGCCCCCTCCCCCCGGCCCCCACTGATTTAAATCCAGTCCAGACCCTGGGTCCAGCTTGACCAGCCGTCCCGGGCTCACGTCCACCACTGTTCTTGGTGTCCTCAGACAACCCAGTGGAATTCTCTGGAAGCCCGCAGTGGCTTCCTATATCATGGCGGAAGGTGGGGTGGGCGGTGGGGAGGGGGTGGGGGCTGTCGAGACGGCCAGAGGACAGGCAGGCCTTCCCATAAACGGCCAAGTATCCTGTGCCAACCCGCCAACGTTGGGGGGGGGTGTGGGGGGCGCGCTTCAGATGCAAGGATTATGGAAAGCGAGAATACAATTTCCTGATAAAATAGAAGAGGCGATTAAGTTAATGAAGGATCATTTTGCTGGTTTGAAAACTATAATTAATAGGCATTAATTGTATATTTAGAAGTTTAGCGTGGCGTGGGCTTGGGGAGCCATCGTCAAACACAATGACGCCGTAGGTGCTGCATAATAAAGACAGGGCCCAGATGGTCCTCAAAGCCCCTAACGAGAGCTTTGCGAGGGGCTGCTATAATGATAAAAGATGCCACTCGCTGTTCTGCTCTTCCTTTAACGACATCCTTTCCGAGATGATGCTTATCATTGGTACTTTCATCTTCAGTTAAATAGCATATGGCCCCGGCTGATTAAAACCCCCTCCTGGTTTTAATCAGCGACTCGGGATCAGGTTTCGAATGGTGGCCGTGGTGGCCTCGCTGGTCCCGTGGTACGCTTTTCAACTACATCTACGTCTGGAGAAAGGGTGGTGGAGGGGTGCGGGGGGGGAGGGGCGTGGAGCTGGCCCTGTCCGCGTCCTGGGTGGCAGGACAGTCGCTCGGGCCCTCCTGGAATGACCTGAGCCGGGAGCCAGTTCCAAGGATGCCTCAGAGATCAGGCTGGGCTGGCTCAAGCTGTCTTCAGGGGACCGGGTTGGCTGGAGGCCGGGCCCGGTTACCCTTGGCTGTGGCAGGGAGGTGGGCTGTCAGATCCCCTCATTTTACAGAAAGCTTAAAAGGTTGAGAGAAACTGTAGGGGCTGCTGACCCCGGGAGGAAGAGGAAGAACCACTTAGGGGACTCGAAGACGAGAATCAGATGGATGGCATCCGAATCCTGGCCCCACTGCCCAGAGCTGTGAGCACCCACCAATCTCAGACTCACTCTTCTCACTGCTGTTGGATGATTTCTGTTAGTCTCTTATTAACCCCATTTCATAGATGGCAAAACTGAGCCTCAATCAAGGGTTGAGAGCTGACGAAACTTGGTGAGTCAGGAAGGAGGGGGGTCTGGAGAACATTCAGGAGGATCTGCCTGTTCTTCCACCATGCCACCCTCCGTCCATGAGCCCCCGAAGGACTGGGACCATGTCTGTCCTGCTCATGTCTGCCCACTCCAGGCACAGTGTCTACCTCTGTCAATCCTTAGTCAGTGTTTGGAGGAAACAAGGGATCCCACTGGAGCGGGCAGAGTGGACATCTGCCATGGGTATTTGGCAGGTAGGCAGGAGAGACTTCCATCGATCACCAACACTCTACGTGCTTCCCATGGGTCCCAGCCCCCTCGAAGTTTCTTGGGGCCACAAGATTAGTTTTGGCCAACGGACTACACATGGGAGCGACTTGGGTGGAAGTGTTAAGAGCCTTTGCTTGTCCTTCCAGTTCTTTCTGCCCCTGAAGGCTTGTACTGAGACAGCAGAGCCGCAAGAGCAAAGCACCTGGTCTGCTGAGACATTGCGTTGTCCTGGAAAGTCACCCGACTTGCTCTGGACTTCGTGACAGCCGGGAAGCCACGGAGATGTCAGATAAGTTTGTTACTGCCGCATAACACAGCCTTATACTGACTACCTTGGGGCAGAGTTACTGAACTTGAGTCCAGGGCAGGGCTGCAGTCAGGGATCTGGCTGGCATGGGATCCTCGCTTGTCAGGGTAAAGGTCACCTGGTCAACCTCTGCCCGCCTCTTGCCTGGCTCTCTTGCCTGGTGTGGGCCCATGGAAGAGGCATGGAGATCACTGTACCAGCCTCTGTAGCTCCTGAAGTCCCCGAGACACTTGTGAACAGGAAATATCAATAGATACTGATTGATATTTATCCAGGCTCTGGGCTCCCCACATCGTTTAAGAGTAAATACTGTACTCTCCTCACAGAGTATACTTAACTTACTTAAATGTCTAAACCAGTGGTGTTCAAATTTTATTCAGCATCAGAATCACCTGGAAGGCTTGTGAAATCACAGATCGCTGGCCCTCCATCCAGGTTCTGATGCAGTAAGTCTGAGGCAGAGCCTGAGAATATGCATTTCTGACAAGTTCCCACGTGCCCCTGAAGCTGCTGGTCCAGAGACCAGACTTTGAGAACCATTGGTCTGGGGCATCTATGGCCCTGTTCCTGGAAGACCAGGCCCTCTCCCAGGGGCATTTTGCCCTGGCATTTGTGTCTGTCCTATGCATGCTGGTTTCTACCCTGTTTCCACATTGCCAACCTTCACTCCCATGGCTTCCAGGAGCTCTCACCCACCTAGATAACTGAGGAGGTCCATGGAATGCTTGCGCTTTCTATGACGGATCTTCCTGACCTCTGGGGAATGACTGGGCATGGTTGTTTGCTTTGTCCCATGACACGTGGCCCCTCAGAAACTCGAATGCAGCTATATAATCAGCATTCTTTTGGTTGCAAGTGAAAAATCCTGAAAGAAATCTTGAAGGAAGATACTGGCTCTCGAAAGATCCAAGAGCTAGCTCTAGGGCCAGGCATGGCTGGATCCAGGAGCACAATCAATGTTGTCAGTGCTCAGTCTCCCTCTCTCCTGGCTGCAAGGTGAAGTGTGTCAAAATAAGGAGATGGGAGTAGGAATATCACGTGTTCCTTGTCCCTTCTGCCTCAGTCCCTGAGCCTATAAAATGGGACTGTTAAGTTCAGGGAGAGTGATATCGGTTGCAGGAGTCACAGGGCTATGAGGACTTTTGATCCACCTTTCTAGGCTGTCTCTTGGGTGGGAAGATACCCAGGCAGAGACAACCCCAGAGGTGTGACTTATCCTAGGAACTCTCTGTGTGGTACCCCACTGGAGCCAGCCTCCGTTTCCCCATCTGAACCTGTGCCCTCCAACAGGGACTCTTCCATTGCTGGCGTGCAATGAGCCTGGATTAGTCAGAAGGGCTGTCCTCTCTTCTAGCACTGGGTCCATTTGGAGGCCCCCAAGATTCCTTCTCTGTGGTTCTGATTGGCTCACGTACCCATCTCAAAACCAATCACCATGGCCAAAAGAATATAAGATTCCACCGGGCCAGGTCTGAGTCACATGCACAGCCCATAGCTGGGCCCAGAGCTACACCTAGTAAACCAGATGATGGTGGAGGAAAAGGTGATTATTCGAAAGCAAAATTGGGATGCTCTGCCCAGCAGAAGGGGAAATGCATGCTGGGAGGCCCACTCAACTGATGTCAACCACTGGCGCCAAATTATCAGCCTGCCTGAGACCCCCTCCTTCACCCCTGCCCCAGCCACGACCCTTATCTCTCCCCTGCTTAAATCCTAAAGCCACCCAGCCCAAGACGCTCTGCCCTGTGATCCTCCTTCTTCCCGGAGAAAGGAAGGGGGCGGCAACCACATTCTCTCATTAGTCTTTCTGACATCTTTTGTCACCTATCAGGGGAACAAGCAAGTCCTTTGATCACAGCAAAAGGAGAAAGAGTATTTAAAACACGGCCTGTGAAGATTTGCTGAGCAGAAGGTGGGAAAGGCAGTCAGTGGCAGTTTTCAAAGCAGAAACATGATTTCCAGCCTCCAGACTTGCTTGTCTGAGGATTGCTAAGGAGGATTTGCCCGCAGCCTGGGTCTTTAAATGGGCCAAGGAGCCCTGATGTCGGGGGCGGGGGTCTCCGAGGGACTTGGTGAAGGGGGTTTCTGGGAGGAAAGTAGGAGGCCAGACTTTGATTCATCATGAATCACAGACGTTAAGGCTGAATGGTCAGCTGGGGGAGAGCACTGGCCTGGGGACCTGGAGAACTGGCGTCACCACTGGCTCTGTGTGGAACTCCGGACACGTCCCCTCCCTGCTCGGAGCCTCAGTGTCCTTTCTGTATGAGGGTCGGGACCTAGTTCAGAATTCCCCCCTTTCTCTCAGCATCCCCTACCCTTGCCGTCCTATCTACCATCGCCTTGCCGTAATTTACAAAGATTCCCTTTTCCCAACTTAATTTAATCAGGAACATTTATGTCACCAGCATAAATCGGGAACCAAGGAAACAACATCAGGTCCATAATAAGAAAGATAACCATGAAAATAAACACGATGGAGAGCAGCATGGCATTAAATTCCAGCTAGATCATGTTTTGACGATTCCGGGAGTGACAAGAGGAGAAGAGCTCCCTCTGTAAAAATCAGAGATCGGCAAGAGGGAGGTGGCTTTCCGGGGAGGATTTCTCCTGGCCACGCTTAGGAGAGAAAGGGGCCGATATCT